GGCACTAATTGAGTCCAAATCGTAGGACACATACACCAGAAGACGACCTCTCGATTTGAGGACATAGTCATAAAAGTCAGTCTTAATGTCATTAATAAACATTTTGAATGTCTTTGACGGCAATCAATGGTTCAATGAGTCCATCAGACACTCAATCACTCACTGAAGACAACAAACATCTGAATGAATGACAAAAAGCGCCAAAACTTCTAAAACGGCTCAAAGGGACCGACACTTCATTTACAACTGCAGTCAAAACTCTATTGCCTCTCATTCTGTCTCACATTCCTATAGAATTGCATTTGCATTGCATTTGTTATTCCGTTGGCTATACTATAGCCTATACTATAGCCGCAATAGTTTAGTGTTTAGTTTAATTATGATATGATGTGATTATATGAATGGTGAGATTATTAGTAATATAATTATTAATAATTATATAATAAGTGTACAGAATTGTTAATTCCTGACTCCAGAAGTTTGCACAACTCTCTAACAAACTTTGGAGATATGGTGAGCATATCATACAATTATTGACCTAAAGAATTGATCACTTATTATGTCTATATTTGTAGAAATTATTCACATTTTCTTTAAATAATCAGTTTTTGTGTGACTTTTATTACCCGTTTATCATAAATTGAAGGCACTAAAACAAAATTTCAAAAGAGATACCATGGTCATTACTAAGATAAGGAATTATTAAGATAAACTTTTATATTGTAATTGATGGATATTTATATATTGGCAAAATGATAGTAAAGTTAGATTAGTAATAAATGGCAATATAGTAGTGTCTTGTAATGCAAGATGTTTGTTCAATCAATCAATTTTATGATTTATGTTTTAGTAAACTAATTGAAAAATGCTTTCAATAGTTAGATAACTATAGTTATTCAGAATAACTGATCCTAGAAATGAACAGGAACATGGAATAGTTACACCTTGCAATACCTTATATTATGAACATTAAAAACTGTACGGATTAAAGTGTGGTGAACAATTGAAAAAAGGGTCATAAATTGAGTGAAATAATGACTAAATGAAATGATTTCAATGCTATACTCAACAACTGGTGCAATGAATTGTAGAGAAAATGTAGAGAAATGTAAGTTTGAAAGAAAGCGCTTATCAATAATGAATGGATAGACAGTGAATGCATTGACTGACACTTGGATGCAATGATCGCAATGTTATTCATAGAGGCAATCATAACATCCAACACTTGTCTCTCTCATCATTTAAATGACTATTTCATTGAAACGAGTCATCAAATGATTGGCTTATTATGAAAGTAATGTTTAGTGCCTTTAATTTGATTGTCATTTAATCGTCAAACGTATGACATGTAAACAGATGTCATAAATGTGTAGACAATCAGTGATTTGCGAGAAATTTATTTTTCACGTGAAATGCAAAATAAGTTAACTTTAATTGAGTCCAAAAATAGTGATAATTTGGTAAACAATTGATTGTCATGAATGTCTTGAAGTGATGTCTGAGCTAATGGTTGTGTCGTTTGGTTGACAGGAATCTGTGGCGAGGATGAAGTGTCTTCGCACGGAAGAGGCGGCCCAACAGCCATATGAAGAGGTGTCCGCTCGGCTCCAGTCAGACCTGAGGAATGGCTTGCATTGGGATGAAGTGGACAATCGGCACAAAGTTTATGGTTATAACGAACTCGAGGTTAAGGCAGAGGAACCGCTGTGGAGGAAATATATCGATCAGGTATTGCATCCATTGATTACATGTGGAGACCATCGAGTGATTAACTGATTGTTTGCTGTATTTATAGTTCAAAAACCCGTTAATTATATTACTTCTGGCCTCAGCTCTGGTCAGCGTTTGTATGCAACA